CCCGATCCATCGGTTACTGTTGAATGTCCAGATATCGGACCCTCCGGCTCGCAGATTCCAGTCAAATACAGCTTCTTTGGAGAAAACCTCTTCCCGACCCTCGAATGGTCCGCGCCTCCAGCCGTCGCCGGCAATATCCGAGAGTGGCTTATTGTCGTCGAAGATCCGGATGCACCACTCGCTGAGCCTGTTGTGCATGGTCTCTACTACGGTATCCCTGCCAGCAAGTGCAGTGTCTCAAACGAGGACTTTAAGCCCACCGCTGCAGGAAGTCATGTCCTAAGGGGCGGGTTTAAGTATGGGGCGAATCGTCGGGGAACGATCTACATTCCTCCGCGCGGAATGCTGGGCCATGGACCGCATCGCTACTTCTTCCAGGTGATTGGGTTGTTGGAGCCATTGGTTGTAAGCAAGCTGGGTGCTGTGGCTACCAAGGCGGAGATTGTASGTTTGATCGAGGGGCGAGTTGTGGCATGGGGACAGTGGATGGGGGTTTGGGAGAGGAAATCGCCATAATGTTTTGTGGGATTTATCTTTCTATGATTCGACTTAATTACCTAGGTTTCTTCAGAGCAGATATGACTTACACATTAGGTGGCTTACCTTGAGTATTAGTTTGGTTAATAAATTTTTGCCGATTATCCGGTGACTGACTCAGGCAGCCGTCAAGCTTTCCATCTAGCGGCGCTTTCCCCGCCTCTCCCGTCACTTGCCATGAATGACAACAACACAATTACAGAGGAGATTGGATGGGTTAGATGTCTTCACTCTTGCTATACAAATTGAATGTATTAAATTCGTCTGCCACTTGTCAGATCCTGCAAATATCTGCTACTAGTCCACCAAGCCTATCCTCAAGGCTCAGTGCCGATGCCGGCCCTGAACCGGGCCTCCAAAATGGGGCAGTCCACAGTCTGTGCGGGCCTAGCTTAAATACATTTCTCTAGAATCAGGGTCGCAAATCTCTTCTGGTTTCACAGCCGAGCAAAGGTGACACCAGATCTGTCGTAAACGCTGTATTGCCATGTCGGATGAGCAGCAGCAGCAAGATACTGAACCAGAGGCCATCGCCAAAGAGACACAACCCAGTCAAAATGTTTCCCCCAAGGATTACTCCGTGTTCACCACCAACGAGAAGAGAGCCATTGTCTTGATGGGATCACTGGCGGGCTTCTTCTCCCCGCTCTCCTCCAGTATCTATTTCCCGGCGCTGGACACTATCGCTTCCTCGCTGCATGTATCTATCACCAAGATCAATCTTACTGTTACAACCTATCTGGTACGTATCATCAAATAAGAAGTCTTGGACGAAATCACTAACTTGCCTAGCTTCTTCAAGGAGCTTCGCCTATGTTGATTGCTGGCTTCTCAGATAAAGTAGGTAGACGGCCAGCATACATCATCTGCTTCACCATCTACATCGCTGCAAACATCGGTCTTTCTCTGCAAAACAGCTATGCAGCTTTGATGGTGCTTCGCTGCATCCAGAGTGCCGGAAGCAGTGGCACTGTCGCTTTATCCAATGGTCTTGTCGGCGACATGATCACCTCCGCCGAACGAGGCTCATACATTGCCTTTGCATCGATCGGGCTCATGCTGGGTCCGTCTCTTTCCCCTATCATTGGTGGTCTGATCAGCCAGTATCTGGACTGGCACTGGATCTTCTGGTTTTTATTAATCCTCAGTGCTGTCTTCTTTGCCATTTTGCTCCTGTTTCTCCCCGAAACCTGCCGCAAAGTTGTCGGTGATGGATCCGTTCCCCCTCCGCCTCTGAACAACAACGTCACCGATATAATCCGACATCGTCGTCGCAAGAGAGCTGGAATCGCAGCAGACCAAGCGACCATTGCGGAATACCGCAAGAACTACCGCTTTCAGCTCCCCAACCCCCTCCCGACTCTCCTCATCGCGTTCGAACTCGAAACAGGCCTGATTCTCCTCGCCGCAGGATTGGTGTTCGCTGGGTTCTACGCCGTCATGACCGGCGCATCCACGTCCTTCCATGAGATCTATCATTTCAACGATATCCAGTCCGCACTAATGTACATCCCTATCGGCGCAGGTGGAATTGTTTCCTCCTTTGTTACCGGCCCCCTAGTCGACTGGAACTTCCGCCGCCATGCTATCCGTGCTGGTCTCCCTGTGGAGAAACGTAAGCAGAGTGACCTGAGTAACTTCAACGTTGAGCGAGCCCGGCTGGAGATCGCCTTGCCGGCTTTCTACATCTGCTGCGTGATGATGATCGCCTACGGTTGGGTGATGAACCATAAAGTCAACCTTGCGGGTCCGGTGATCCTTCTGTTCCTGTTCTCCTTGGCTCTGAGCTGTGCCTCGCAGGTGTTGAATGCGCTCTTGGTGGATTTGTGGCCGAAACGGTCTGCTGCCGCGACGGCGGCGAATAATCTGTTTCGGTGTGAGTTGGGTGCCGGGGCGTCCGCGGCCATTGCGCCCATGACGAACGCCATGGGTCATGGGTGGGCGTATACAACCCTGGCGCTGATATGTGTGTTGTCTACCGGGTGTTTGTGGTGGACGATGTTCTTTGGGATTCGATGTCGACAGAAGAGAGTACAAAAGGAACAGGCGAGACGTCGGAGTTGACTAGCATACTGAATGTGCATATTCTTGTTGTATATACCTATTTCGGATATACATATATCGCTCCCTTGGTGAGCATAATAACCTTACTTCTATTACTTTCCAGCCTCAAAAATCACCTTTTGGGACTTCATCTGGTTAAAGTCGTCGTACCTGCAGCTGTTAGCATAGTCGAGAAAATATGCGAAGACTTACGCTGCGATAGCTTCCGACAGCGGTCGAATATCAGCAGTCATGAACCTAGACATGTCAGCGGTGTCCATCAGAAGGAGACTGCATACACACTCTAGTGAATCCTGTTTCGTCACCAGCAACTCCAACGCATCCCCGAAGATGCTCCGAACAGGACACCGCCCCATCTGAATCTGCAGATTCTTCCCATACGCCTCGTTCCCCGTCCACGGAATCTCCCCGTTATGCACACCCACACTCGAGATGCGCCCCCACGGCCTCAGCAACTCAAACGCCATCCGCAACGCACTGCTATGCCCAACAACCTCAATAGCCACATCCGCCCCCCGCCCATCCGTCAACTCAAGCACCCTCTCCCGCAGCCCCGGCGCATCCGTCTGGAAATTCCACGCCTCCGCACCCAAACTCCTCGCTCGCTGCAGCCTATCCGGCACACTATCCACCGCAATCAAAGCCGCAGGTCGATACTCCAGCGCGCTGATAAGCGCACACAATCCCACAGGCCCACACCCAAACAGCACGACCGTACTCCCCCGCACAACCTCCTCATCCCATCCCCGAAACGCATTCCTCGCGGCAAAGTACCCCGTCGGGAAGATATCAGCCATCAGAACGAGTTTCTTCTCGTCCACTACAGACGGCGCCGCGACGAGTGTGCCATCCGCTAGCGGGATACGCACGTACTCCGCCTGTCCGCCGTCCAGCACCGCGAAGCCGAACAGCTTCCCCTTGGCGCACCGCGAGGAACACCCCCGGGCGCAGTAGAAGCATTCGCCGCAGCTGAGGGTGAAGGGGGAGACGACGCGATCGCCCTTTTTGAAGTTGTGGACCGCGGCGCCGGTTTCGATGACTTCGCCGGTGAATTCGTGGCCCATTATGAAGCCTGTGCTGGAGGGCTGGTGGCCGCGGAAGACGTGGAGTTCACTGTATCTTGTTATTTGCTATCTTTAAGGCAAGGGAGGGGAGATGTCTGACCTGCCACATAGCGCCGTGTAGCGAACTTTGATGATTGCGTCTGTGGGATCTTGGATCTGCGGGATAGGGCGCGTTTCCAGCGTGACCTCCAGTGGGCCTTTGAATATCACTGCTTGCATTTTGGTGGGGTTTGAATTCTTGGTTGGTGATGAAGGTGTATATCTGCCCTTCCAGTATTTCTATTTAAACTCCTCCAGGTTGATCGACCGCGAACCCCGCGTCTGCGGAATCAGATACCTCGGCTGGGCCCGACTCCGGATTGATGTGGCGCCATTTGGAGTTGATGCTGACTTTGGTCTAGAACGATCTAGCTGGAATTACTCGGAGCTGGGAAAATATTAGTTGGCTGGATATATACACTTGATAAGATTGTCATACAATGCTTTGACTACATATTCAAGGATCTCAAGACCCAAATCTGAGTATTTTCAAGCAGTATGCCGTGTCAATTAAGTTTTACATAGTATATTGTCATAATAGAGCTGTAGCAAATGTCCACAGCAGAAGTAACATGTCGTTCAATCATCCTTCGTTAAGCCACAGTCCGGTCCACATCATCCATTCATCGAGTATATGGTTGTCACTCGATTTAGGAACGAGGGCACATTCCCATTGGGGCTATCCATAATACAAATATTAGCCTTTAGAATCAGTCAACGGCGAGAGCGGATATCAGAGAGCCTACTGTATCGCATAGAAGTAAAGTCGAGGCCCCCCTGGTATTGAGGGTCCGGCGTCAGCTTTGTTGATTGTTCTTTGCCAGCTACMAGTGTAGCAGCATCACTGTAGACAGACGACGAGTCATCCTTGCCAGATTTTTGGGCTTTCTCTGCCGCCTGACGCTGCGACTTGGATGATTTGAAGGGGTTTGAGAGGGAGAGAGGCATGATGAAGACGTAAACAGTTGATCTGTGTTCTTTCGTTGATTGTAGATATGAATCTGTGTCTTCAGACCTTGATTCATGCACATATTTATATTCCAGTTGTCCCAGGCATACATTGTCAGGCATCTGCATTTTGGTCTTCGGAGTTGAAAGAACATCGGACTAGTTGAACTAGCCCGACTGACAGTGTTATTGATTGACTACCTAATACAAACAGGGTTAAACGACCAAGAGTCAAGACCGCCAACCCCAATAAAGTCGGAGTTCGTATCGAACTCCGAATTTCTTCCATTCCCTCCCACCAAATAAACCTACAAACTCCTCTCATCAATGAGTCTTTCAAAGCCCAATATGACAACAACCCGTCGCAACGGCCAGCTCCCCTCCTGCGAGCCATGCAGGAAATCGAAACTCCGTTGCGACCATACAAGGCCGATATGTAACCGCTGCAACCGCCGCGGTTGGGCAGACCAGTGCCTCTATCACCCAGCACCCCTCACAAAGCCCCGAGACACCAAGGCAGCAGCAATTCGAAAACCCAGGCAGAAACCAACCCATAGTCCAGGCCAGAGCGCAAACGTCAGCGGCAGTGCAGGTGTCTCTCCCATAGCCATCCGCGACGTGTCCGTTTCCGTATCCGGATCAGTCTGTGCGTCCCCCCTGACGATAGGCGAGTCGCATGCATGGGAGAAGCGGCCATTTGCCAATCCAGGCTTTCTGGGTCTGACTAGCTACTCCGACAACGTCACGGGGTATGCCGCGGTCTTGGACCATGCGATGCGGCCGCGCGACAGTCCGTGTTCGTCGGGATCGATTGCAGCGGCCGTTGACATTAGACAGGTGGAGCTGGGAGCGCAGGCGCTGCTGCTCTTGGATCATTTACCGCTGTTTGAAGAGCTTCTGGAGAAGCGGTTTGCTATCTGGGAGGGGTGGATCTTCAGCACGCAGATGTTCCGGTGCATCATCAAGGTACTTCGCGATCTGTATCGCGATGCTACGGAGGGTGTGCAGGACAAGTATGCGTCTGTTATGGAGCTGTCGAGGACGTTTTTCCGCAATACGGCTACGGAGATCGAGTTGCGGGCTTCGATGACGCTGTCGGAGTATGTAGAGCTGAGTGGTGCGCGATGGGACAGCTATGCGCTTCTCATCTCTGCGGTAGGGTACGCAATCTATCACGTTGCGCATGACAGCGAGAGCCTCCCTGGCAAGGATAAGAAGGGGTTACGGCGGATTGCGCTGGCAGCGAGCGATATTTGTCTACAGTTATGTGATAGGTTGGGGACGATCAGCGATACTCTTTGCTGCGCTACTCTTCAGTACTCGGTCTTGGTCCATCATACATATGGCACAGGTGGTAGGTCTTGTGCTCGGTTTGGAGATCAGAATTTGGACTGATGAAGGATAGATTACAGAACCTGGCAGAAACTCGGCGATCTTACTACGATTGTCTTTGCTCTGGGCCTTCACCAGGCGGGAGACGACAGAAACGTCCCTTTTTTCCTATCCGAGTTGCGCAAGAGGATCATGATCGGGGCATACGGGATGGACAAAGACCTGGCGCTGTTCCTCGGTAGGCCGCCGCGGATATGCAAACAGTACTGCAATTTTCAGTCCCCGCTGGACCTGACTTGGGAAGAATTGATTTCCCCACCTAGCGTGCGGCAGGCTGCACTACTGAAGCTGGATGCGAAAGGTTGGAATACAGAGGGGAAACTGGGCAGCGGCGCAAGAGGACGTACCATCCATCTTGCATGTTTGATTCGAGAGGATATCCTAGAGTTGTCAATTGGCCAGGGAGGCGACAACGTGGAAGAACATGCTGAGTGAGTGCTTCGGCCGCTTTGCGCTTGTGGGATCAATTTCCGGCACTAATAATAGCCCCATAGGAGAGTCCTTAAGAGAGCACGCCAAAGGCGCTCTGAACTGCCCGCCTTCCTGCAATGGGACCCTGAGTCGGCCGATCCGGAGCTTGCAACATTGCATCTAGAGTTCCTGCACCAGGACTTCCTAATCTATTCGACTCTTGTCAAACGAATACGCAAGGGTCACGATGCATTGATCAAAATCTCTCTGGAGATCATCACTTGTTTACTTGACGTAGTGTCGAGGCAGATGCGATCCGACAAGACTCACATGTTGACGATCCTTGATGTAAGTGTTCGACCTCGTCACTGTTCACTGTTGATCACCGCTGATTATACGCAGCTTTGCTATATCGGCCTTCCTGCTGCAGGTGCCTTAGCGACCAAACTACTCCGACACTCCCAGCCAAATCTTGAGCCAGTGCTCTGTTCCGCACCGTTTCCTCGCTCGGAGATCATTCAAAAGCTGAGCGTCTTCATCTCGCACGCAGACACCTTCATCCAGCAACACGAGGGGGATTACGAAATTGCGTTGCAAGGGCAGATGCTCATCAGACAAGTCCTTGATCGTGTGCTATCGCCCACGACAGACCAACCCTTTCCCGATCCTTCCATCAACGGCATGACGATAGGAGATGATGTTGATTTCATGGCCTTGCTGGAGAGTTTTGACTGGGAGCAGGAGATCCGTCCCACATTCAGCTGATGGTGAAGTGTCTAGCGATCTCATCACAGAAGTAGAAGGAGATGTACTTCAGTAAAGTCGTTTAGTTCGGAAACAGAGAGAAATAGGCAGCGTCAAGATCACGTATCATGCCGCTGATACCTTCAAAAATCAAGTCCCTCTTCATGCAGACAATCATAGAATGAGCCCCGTTGCGGAGCTCCTCTATCAATCGCTTAGCGTCTTGAACTTCGGTCACGGGTTCCGGGTGGTTCAGAAGTGGATAGCAGACCGAAAGGCGTTTTGATGACAGCGCCGCCCGGACCCGGTGCACCAGCATATACAACACGTAGGAGGCTTGCATCGCGGCACATTTAAAAAATGGCAGGGATCCGGTGTACCCCGCGGCGTTGGAGTTGGCTCTTTGTTCGTCTATCTCTGCTGTACGCAGAGGCGAAAGTCCTGAGTGTGGTAGGCTTGCTAGGGCACGCGAAATAGCAAGGGACGACTTTAAGCAGATTATCGATGACTCAGTCTGAGTGAAGGGAAAGATCGAATCTAGATCCGACTGCGCCGGAAGTGACGCGGTCTGTGATGGAAAAGCGTCCAGCTTGAGAAAAGTAAGGTCGCAGTGTTTCTCCAGAAAGATGGGAATGTCGGAGAAGGCTCTGTAGCGATGGAGCTTGACCCGGGCACTAGCACATAAATCCAATCAGTTCCAATCTTTGACAGATTTCGACCAGGTCACCCACGTATGTGTCATGGCGCAAGCAGTCTTCCAAAGGCTCAAAGCGGCCAGGTTTTCGGCTTGATCGTTTTCCGCTACTCCCGACTCCAGGTCACAGTGGTCACAGTCCGCCGCTAAAGATAGTATGTGCCTGTCCAGGCGACAAGCCTGCTCCCGGAGATCCAGTGCTGGTGAGCCGTTCTGGCTCTTCCCAGTTACTGGACGCATTACAGCGCAGACGGAGACGATGGCATCCTGGGCTTTCAGTAAGTGCGACCAAGGCTAGTAAATGTTAGCCATATCACAGGACAAATTGATGGTTTCACCATGGGAAATGCTCGGAACGAAGCCTACTACCTCTGAGACTTTACTCTGAATATCAAATCTAGGATACGGAGTGGTTATTCTCGGATCACTAATGCTGATGATGGGCGACTATTAAATCGTCAGAGAGCTTGCGTGTCTGTAGAATGTTCTGATTAATTCAACCTACCGAGTCATTGTTGGCCGACGAATGGTACATCACAATGACCTGTCTGAATATTAGCCCGCACTGTTCATTCCTGGTCAGAGAACACAAACCGCAGTCCACCATGCTCGACGCTGTGCTTCTGTTGCGTTCTCGTCGAGTTGGTGAAGCGAATAATCCATGGCTGTTGTAAGGGCTTGATTAGCACGCATCCGCATGCGTGATTTATTGCCACATTGACACAAGTCATATATGCTGAGGACGATCAGAGCCAGAATCGAGTGCAACTGCGTCGGTAATTGCGGATGGAAATCTCGGCCTTCTACCAAACCATCGGAGTTTGCCCAGCCGCCTGCAAAGCCCTCGATCTCCTTCTCCGCCATACGGAGAGCGGCTTGCGCAAAGAGCTGAGCGTAAGACCGTCGTAGCCACACACTGCAGGGTTCGGATTGATTCCGATCATGCGGAGGTGGTATCAAGGCCAGAATGGCGGATAATGCTAGGCTCAACGAGGACGTCGGCTGGTAGGGCAGACAGGATAGCTCCACTGTGCCGGCCAGTCCATGTGAGGGCTGGAAGACATGCGGATTGTCTTGAGGCAGAGACGAGCTGGGCGGAGGGGGCAATAAAGGCAGACACGGATGGACAAAATGATAATAGGCATTTTGTCTGCGTCGAAACCGAGCATCCACAGTCAGTAATTACGAGGGTTCTCGGCTGCGTTGATCAGCAATGGCCTTTTTGGTACGTACATTTCTTCTTCGGAAGTATAGACCCGCAGAACCGGTCCTTGGAGTTCTCMTTGAGAGTCCGTATGCGGAGAGGACCAGACGTCTTTCACAGGCCGATTTGCATCCTGATTCCTGCCAAGAGAGGAGAGAGGGGTCGCTGAACTCCAGAGATTGGAGTCGACAGGCGTGAGAGTGGACTCATCTGTCAGTGAAGGCGTAGACTGTGGAGCATGGACTATTCCTGCGGCCTGTGGTGGTAGCGGGCTAGACTCGACAGCCGACTGTCGATGTCCTCGACGAGGCCCGCCCCTTCTACTGGGTCTGTAGGTGCAAATGCGATCTCTTAATGTGCACTTTACAACATGTAATTAGCGGGTTGAAATTTACTGGTTCAACAGTAAGGTACACGGCCTACCGGTCGGCACGGGTTTTGTCCGTCACAGCGTGTTTTCGAAGCGCGACTGCGAGGAACGTCAGTTACCTGTCAAAGATGGGTAGGTATATCACATACCAAGCTAAACAGGCAGCTTTCACAGGGCGACTGATTCGATCATTCATATTTGAGCGTATGTGGGGATTTACACGCTGGTCATTGATACTCCAAATATCGCCGGCCCGTTTCGGGAAGAAGCCATCTGACACGTGATACTTGCTTACAAATGTCGAATCAGCGTTTGCTCTCTACGATAATAGAGGGAGGATCTTAGTACACCCTTCGTCATCGAGACTTCTTGGTTTGTAATAACGAAGATAGACACATATAAAACATATTAATATTTTCTTCATCTCGATTGCAAGGACTTGAGCGGCTGGAAGGTGCGATTACCCCGCGTATACGATCAAAACTGGAGAGCATAGTAGAAATTGTCTGACCACTGCTCGTATAAGACGCCACGTGGAATCCATCCTGAAATCTCTGGTGCAGTTCATCATTTCAACGACAGGGAATAATAGGCCGTAACAGGTCGTAACCATGACTCTCAATGGAAGCTGCATGTGCGGTGCCATCGCCTATACCTCAAGCTGTAAGCTGAGAAGCATTATCCGCCTATTCTGCTGCTAATGTTTGTATTCAAGCTGAGCCCTTAGTGAGCTGCCTCTGCCACTGCATTGACTGTCAAAAGGTATGGGCGCTTCTATGTGGCCGAGTGCCTATGGCAAGGCGACGAACACTGAGACCATCATGAAAAAGTGGACTGGCAGTGCTTTCACATCCAATGTTATTGTTCCAAGAGACTCTTTCAAGGTCACTAAAGGTATGATCACCATCACACTAGGCGACATATATTCACAAAGCTAACGCCAACCAGGAACTCCGCGGTCGTATGATGTCACGGGTGACAGTGGTAAGATCAACAAGCACTTCTTCTGCGGTGATTGCGGGTCCAGCCTCTACTCAGAGCTGGAGATCATGAGCGACAAGACGGGAATCAAGGCCGGCACGCTCGACGGTGGAGAGGCGCACCTACGCAACAAGGTCGACGTCGAGTTCTATGTCAAAGACCGTGTGCATTACCTGAATGCACTTGACAACGCGAGGCAGGAACCTCGTCTTGGGTAGATACCGCAAGCATAGGGAGTTGAATCCCTTACCTAGGACGCAGAGCGCTGGTGACTGCTTAAACTTGATACATGGCAGGGTTCTCTTAGAGTCACCAGCTAGGAGCTTCAGCATAAACAAGACCAGCCGTGGACAGTAGTCACAGACAAACACTATCTGCATCGATCATTCAGTCCGGATTTAGTTTCTCTCCACAATTGCAATAGGATCGGAACTCGGAACTTGATACGGCATAATCCGGGTCGGCGGTCCTCGGACGAGGAAACCCGCGTATACCCGAACCTGGGGCCCCAGATAGATCTTTAGCGTTTGTCCAATCACAGCTCCTTGATCGTTAACCCTGTTTGTATTAGACTTTGTGGTCAACCAATAACACTTTCGGAGTCGGGCTGATTGCAGCATGGACCCTGCGGATTACGGAGACTTTTGGATAAGCCGCGGCAGATCCGGTCGGCGGATGTGGATCATCACGGTCGGTCCGTGGCATGATTCACACAAAACAGCGCTCGTAGAAAAAAGACCCCACGCCTCGATCTTAGCTTCACAGTAGCGTTCTGGGCTCGCAACTGCCGCAATGCATTCCGTTCCAAGACGTACAAGAACTGCCGAGTCTGGAGCTTGTTCAAACTGCGTTAAGACGAGGCAGCGATGTTACATTGGCGTCAGTGGAGGCTCATGTTCGTCCTGTCGTCGGGCCAAATTGGACTGTGACGCTCACGGGAGCACACCGTGAGTTTTGTTCAGTAACGTACACCGGATATATTGCATTGCTGATTGTCGCAGTCCTCAGAGCGTGACCGAGGAGCCAGGCTCGTTGCTCACATATTGTCCCGGTTTGTCACTTTCCGTAATGTAGGGTGTCCATCAGGATGACTGATATTGTGAAGAGGATATGTTCGCCTCACAGCTCAGAGAAAGCGAGCGAGAATGCAACCTGAAGTACGGCATGGCTGAGAATCCCGCCGTCCCATCAACTATCCCTCTCGACTACCACATCTCTATCATCAATCAACTTTTTGGGCCCGGCTCCGCCGCTCCACCGGCTGTCCACTTGCCGAGCTACCTGGCCTGTCTCCCACAGCGACTGCACAGAGACGATGTAGAGTATCTTCGACGTAGTGGGGTGCTTGACCTCCCCAGCGACATGCTCCGAAACGAGCTACTAAAGAGCTATATGCTCTGGGTCCATCCGCACATGCCTATGTTAGGGCTGCATGAATTTCTATCAGCTGTCTCTGGCGATAACGAATCTCATCGAATCGGTCTGTTACTATTCCACGCGGTGCTGTTTGCTGCCTCAGCTTTTATCGATATATCCCATATCCGTGCCGACGGATATCCTTCGCGCAGTGTGTTTCGTGAGAGTCTATTCCGCAAAGTGAAGGTACCTCTCCCCCCTGCTCCGGCTGTGTTATGTCCAAACTTATCTGTGCAGGTGCTTCTCGATCTCGAATGCGAAAACGACCAACTCGCTAATGCTCAAGCGATTCTGTTGATGGTATCTCATCCTGAACCGGACCGCGACCAGAAAGAACTCACCCACTGGTTGGATATCTGCATCTCTATGATCAGCTCGAGTCAGACCCAAATGGGCAAGGCAAACGCTAGAAAGCAACAAATATGGAGACGGACGTGGTGGTCCATATACAATCATGTGCGACTAACGTCGGGTAATCTTCTTACCTTGATGAACGTTCCAGAAAACGGCAGTGAATGCGAAACTCCTCTGCCCAGTACTCACGATTTCAGATTCGGTGCCTTATCCCCCAAGGTCCAAATGTTAGTAGGGACCTGCGACTTCCTCTGCGATGTGCAGTATCAACAGTTCCAAGCGGGGTTGTTCATTGAGAAATCCAAGCTCTGTCAGATAGGACAATTTCATGGACTATCAGGGGACTTGTCTGGCTCACCCAGCCGCGAAGCCGGACTTGCCAGTGCCGGAAACAAGGCCTCCCCTACTGAAGTGGCAGAGCTCGCCCATAAATTGGGCAGATGGCACGCACAATTGCCACAGGCGCTTCGTCATCAACCACTGACCTCATCGGCTGTCACGGAGCTGCAAAGGTTCATACTTGTCCATCGTGCATGGCTGTTCCTGCTTTATCTCGCCTCAGCGTACGTCGTCTGCAGTCGCAGTGTAGGGAGCAACAGCCGCGCAAAGGAGCACATCCTAAACAGAATCAGCCTCATCTTCGATGAACTATATCGCTTGGACCTAATCACCTTACTTCCTAATTCCAGCATCGCTATTCTCGTGCTGGCAGTGGAGTTTCATATCAAAGTTGTCGAATCAGCTTACCTTCAAACCAATGAAGCGAGTCAAAGAATGCTCCAGCTATACTCAGAAATCCTGCATCAGTTGCAAGATAACTCCGCTCTTGCCTGTCGCATGGTTGAGAAATTGAACAATGTCACTGCTCCTGGAGCTCAGGACGACCTGTCGAGATTAATGGCTTCGGAATCCGCCGCGGTGGAACGACCAGTCTCCCATCTTGATTTTGCACTAAACGAAACTGACGACTTTTACAATTTCTTGGAATCGGGCATGTCCTTTGCAAATGTTATCCCGTCGGCAGATAACAGTACAAACTTCGGGTTTGATCCTTCTCTCGTTAATGAGAGTTACCTTACACAATTTCCGTGATGCTTGTTGGCTGATCCACCGGTATCAACACCTAATGAATGATGACCTTCTGTTATTTGGATATTAAAAGCTTGGGCTGGTTGAGAGGACAATAAATTGAGATTGATAGAGTAATCAAAATCGAATATACATAAATTTGAGACTCAGTGGTGAAATTGTAGATAGAATGGAGGAATAAAGCCGAGCGGAGGGGAAGGAAAACAAAAAATCAAAAAGAAACGACCGAAACGCGATTCGAACGCGCAACCTTTGGTGCCGAAAACCAACGCGCTACCATTGCGCCATCCGGCCAATTTAGTTGTCAAATGTAAGCACCCTTTAATTGATATGCCAATCTGTCTAAAGCCTTTCCACTCTATGCTTCGTTACTACTGCTCAGCAATCGCACAATGTATCCGGTTGGCATACATTGTCTGAGATAAAATAATGAGAGGTGTATAAGCACTAACACTTGCCATCGATTGCTCCTTCATACCCATTAACTCCCTCAGTTTGTGCACTATGTCGATGGCCACTCTCATGCGCCGTGTACAAATAACTATATAATTAACCCCTTCATCACCCTTCGATAAAACCTCACACTCAGTGTCCAGTTCTTTGCAGCATACCGCTGTTCCTTTGATGCTGACAGTCTAAACCTAGATCAAGAGCCAGATAATATAGTACCTGGATGACGATGAAGACAGCTCATCCTCCACCCAGATGCATCCCTGAAGCCTGCCAAGAATTCTCCCCCGCATAGAGATGCATAAGCGCTTCGGCGTCTACTGTCCAACTTCCTTTCTGTCACCACCCAGCTCATGTTACTTGGATCATCTCTGCGGACATGTTCCTCGTTTTCTCTGTCATAGCAGCACTCCCGCTGCTGGCTTTCTGGCTACTCAATAAGCTCGACTACTATCGCGTCAAGCAATTCGCAGCATGGCCACAACCAAAGCCATCGCGAGTATGGGGTCATATGAAGGATCTCAACGCCTTTATTTCCCGCGGTGAGCCGAGCAGGCATATTGGTAAGCTTCATCCTGCGAACTTTCTCATATACCACAAACTAATACAGAGCAGATTATGTATTCGCGGAAATCAAGGCCCACCTTAGTAACCCACCGTTGTATTTCCTCGACCCACGCCCGATACAGCATCCTATGGGTATCGTCTGCAGCCATGAGATTGCAGAGCAGGTAGCCAGGAGCTCGAAGCAGTTCCCGTATGGTATGCCCAAGACCCCGACGCTGCTGGCTTATAAGTATCTGCTGGGCCCTCATTCGATCCTTACTTCCGAGGTATGTCCAAGACCTGCCAGTATGCTTGTAAGACTTGGCTCATAGGAACAGGGCGAGGAATGGAAAAGACTTCGCAAACGGTTTAATCCTGGATTTGCGCCTCAGCATTTATTGACCTTGCTCCCGTGCATACTGGACAAGACGGGACCGTTTTTCGAGGCTCTTGATCGATATGCTCGGTCAGGTGAAGAGTTTAGTCTGGCTGAAACATGTACCAACCTCACGTTTGATATCATTGGTAGGAATTTGTCCGCCTGAGGAAAACGTGCTGGTACTCATATAGCAGTATAGGCGCAGTGACCATGGACGAGGACTTGGGAGCCCAGCTTCCCATAGACAAGCAGAGCGAGATGGTCAAGCTCTACCACGAGCTGGCTGCAAGCTACTACAGGAAGCCCTCAGTCCGCGCAAAAGTGTTGAACCCCTTGATGATATGGCACCAATATACCCTGGCTCGCAGACTCAATGCCATAATCAAGAATCACATCAAACGCAAATTCACAGAGTTGAAGGAAGTCAGCACCAACGAAAAAAAGTCCCGCAGCATCCTCGCCCTCAGCCTACAGAATATCGAGCAACTAGATGCGCGTGTCCTCGATCAAACATGCGACCAGCTGAAAACCTTCTTGTTTGCTGGTCATGACACGACCAGCATCCTCCTGCAATGGGCATTCTATGAGCTCAGCCGCACTCCTCGTGCTCTTGAATCGATTCGCCGAGAACTCGACGACGTCTTTGGGCCTGATCCTTCCCCAGCAGTAGTTCGTGATAAGCTTCTTGCGCCGAACGGCGAAGAACTTCTCACGAAGTTGCAGTATACCTCCGCCGTGATCAAGGAGATACTTCGCTTATACCCCTCGTCGGGAACGGGGAGATTTGTGCCCAAGGGAGCGGGTGCGTATATCGAACTGCCAGATGGAAGGTCGCTGTGCATTGACGGAGTCCTGATGTACAACTGCGAGACGCTCATTCATCGCGATGAGGCTGTCTACGGGGAATCGAAGGATGACTTTGTTCCGGAGCGATGGCTCGGTGATACGGGTGCTTGTCGGATACCGTCCAGCGCCTGGCGACCATTCGAGCGGGGACCGCGCAGCTGTATCGGCCAGGGACTTGCGACAATTGAGGCACAAGTGATTCTGGCTTGTGTGGTTAGACGGTACGAGTTTGTGAAGACTGGGCTCGGTGAGGTCGCGAGGGACAGCGCAGGGGAGCCAATTTTAAATCCGCGAGGGCAGTACGAGGTCAAGTCGCAATTATTCAACGTGAGTTTGCCAGTCTTCTTTCGGGACCTTTCACCAGCACTAACGTTTAAGCTAGACAATGCAAGTGACTGCAAAGCCTGTAGATGGAACGATGATGAAGGTGAAGCTGTCCTCCGGTGGCAGGAAAGAACTTTGATGTACTTCTCAACATCCAACTTCATTTATCATGTACGCGCTTCATGCTCTGCGTCTGAGACCACTCTGTTGAAATGATCTACTTTGCAGCTTTGGAACCACTTCCCAGATGCTATTGCATGCGGTGCACTGGATGTACTAGTTACCGTAACATGCCTAGCTCTATCCAGATATCATGACTTGACTTGTAGGAGATTTTTAACGCGAATCCCGTGCAATGTCCAACTCTCCTCGACTTCTTGCCCAATATGATCGAACAGTAAGCGTAAGGACTTGCGATCTTCCTTATTACAGTTCGGTGGAGGTCTTTCCCAAGGTCTGAGCCAATAACTGGCCTCGACATATGGAGTCGGCACCCACCCATCATAGAACACCCCATACCTTTCCCAAAGTAAGCCGATTCTCATTTCAGACTCCGTCTCGAATGGTACACCATGAGTGCAATCACTAGTTCCAATGCGGAAATGGCGCAGATGAGGCAGCCTCTTTCGGAAAGCGTCGAAGTAATGATACCAACGCTTGTTGTAGGAGTAGTAGTACCCGTACCCTGCCTCCCCATCATCCTCAAGGCGGAGTTCCATCTCGTCTTTTTTGAATGAATACTCGCCCAGCATGTCTTCAAAAAGAGACAGATCATACAGGATCATGCAATCGTCCAGGGACAATTCGGTCAAGGTGGCTCCATGTGAGAGAATCCACTCTAGCTGGGAGTCTTGGAAGAAGGTAAAATTTCCCAGAACAAGGCTTTTGAGATGCGGAAAGTGGACCTCTCTCAGTTCAAGCTTTGGGCGAAACCCAAACCACGTGTCGCAGAAGAGGGTCAGGTGTTCAAGAGAGGACGCGGTTGGTTTCAGCCACACTGACGGAAGTTTTGTAAAAAAGGACTGCGACTCGGGAAATAGACTGAATCTGTCCTGGTTCCAAAGTTCTGCAGGATCTTCTGTTGTGGCAGTATTGTGCTCGCTCACAATGCTTAGGCGAAGAGATCGCAAATCCCGTAGCACTTTAGTCATATTATTACGTATTTCGTCATTTCTGATGTTGATATCCTGCAGATGCTGAATACCCAAGGACTGCAGAGGTACCTTGAGTGAAGCCAGCCATTCAAAGAAGACACTGAGGGCCTTTTTGCGAAAGGCGACTGTCTGAGGAGGTTTGCTAATCCAATGATACCTAGACACGCCGCAACGCTTGTCAAATTGTAACACAGCGTGTTGTACTTTTGACAAGGTCTTAAGGTGTGAAATTCTGTTTTCAAATTCTTTGGGAAAGTAGGCTTCTTCCTCATCATCTGAGTCCTAGTTCTGTAAGCATATACCACTTGTTGGACGGTCAGAGGAGAATACTAACGTATGGATGTTCGTGCGTGTTGATATACACTTTTTTGACCGCATCCCCCAAAGTTGATCCCTTTAAAATTTCGTCCATAATCTCATAGCTGCCCTCGGCGGGATACAGTTTCAAGGTCTCAAACAGCAGCTGAGCAGTGACACACGAGAGAAGGCGACATGTTTGGCGCAAATTCTTCCAAGTTGATGGATCGACGTAAGAGACAATGAGAGTAAGAAGCTCGCTGGGAAGAGCAGTGATATGGACCATGTTGCATGAGAATGCAAGCTACCTGAAAGAAGCAGAGCGGCTTAAGCCTGATTTATATGGCCTTTCAGCTCTGGACTGATTCCATGTCAATGTTTTGAGGATTGCGAAAAAGAAAGGAGAATGTCTTAGATTGGCCGAGAGAAGATGCTTCTTTTACAACATCACGTGGAGGGCCCATCTTGGCACTGTCAATGATGCCCGTCATATATCAAACCACTCTGCCAAAAGGAGTCTAGACAACCATCTCTAGCCGCAGGAATGATGGCAGCAGCAGGGACGACACAGCAGGAAGACAACAATACCCAATTCGGCAGCGCCCTGTGAATACTATGTTGAAGCGTTTCTGACCAATTATCTCCAAGATTTCCCCAGCTGAAGTGTACTGTAGGGAATGAGCTGCGAGTGTGAGATTGAAGAAATCAGTCTGATACATATTCTCAAATCTCCCGTCAAGATGTTTGCTTTAGGGTGTCAATATCCCCTACCATTTCTATCGCGTGCGCTGTTAGCAGTCACCGTGTCGACATGACCTCATACTGATCTCTTTATGAACTTCATCATTTATCATGTAGGCTACTCTGTTCTTCTTCGTCGGCAAGAAGCTCTGAGACAGCATCATGGCTGACTTGAATTTACCAGCAATTTTGACGCAGGATAGCCGCATGCTGATCCTACCATATGAGATTGTCTTACTTGTCGCAGACTTACTTCCGCTTCGATCATGGAATGCTCTTGCGCGAACATGCAGACATTTCTACAATGTCTTCATGCCATCGTTGTATTCCAACGCCGTCAGTATCAAGAACGGCCAAGGTGATGTCTTCAAATGGGGCTGCAGGAAAGGGCCGCCTTGCCACTATTCGCCGGCTCATGGATTACGCACCCAATGGCTACTTCCGCTGCGTTCGTGGGGAGGTTTCCCTCCGCCACGCTGCAAGATCCGGACAAATAGAGATCAATCGTTGGTTATTGGACTCTGGCGTCGACCCCTATTGCACACAAACCAGAAGCGATGACTTCAAGTCATTGGCTTATATAAATAGAGTGGCACCAGTGCTGATTGCAGCCCGGCGTGGACACACTGAGGCTGCCAAGGTATTGCTGGATTCCATGACTGATTTTGACTATGTTCGTTCTCTGGAGTGCGAAAGAATCAAACAGCGCTGCTCGAGTCAATTCTTCGCCGAGGCATAGACGTGGACCAAGAGATGTCCATGGGCAAACGGCATTGTTCCATKCTGTAATATACAAGCACATACCGGTTGTGACGCTCCTATTGGAGTTTGGAGCAGAGATCAATGCGACTGATGCACGCCAGGTCACTCCCCTATATATTGCCGCAGAAAAGGGTGTCGAGGCAGTCGTGGAGCTTTTGCTGCAAAGGGGAGCTCGGATGGACATGATAGGGTATGCAAGGGAGACGTCTCTGCATGCTGCCATATCGGCCAATTCGATCAAGGCCGTCTCTCTTCTGATCGAGCATGGTGCAAATGTGAATGCGATTGACTCATCGCAGGAGACTGCTTTGAAGCGATCACTAAGCGACAGGACCGGACCCGGAATTTTGAAGCTCCTTCTCGATGCAGGAGCGGATTTCACGGTCCCAAACAAACATGGTATCACACCGGTAAAGTGGGTATTCAATAAGAGGGCCAAAGAGAAAGTACGGCTGCTCTTAAACGCAATAGAATCAAGAGGAGTCTCTTCTGACTTGCCAGAATCACCTACTACATTGCTACGTGCTGCTATCGTTGCACAACATGATCTGGCATACCGGCTCTTGGCCCAAGGAGCAGACGTTAATCAACGGGAAAGGGACGAAGGGTGGACCCAATTGATGGAGGCGGCGCAGCAAGAACAAGACGGCCTTTTCGACCTGGTGCTGCAAAAGAGTCTCGATGTCAATTCAGCGGACGGTCGGGGACGGACAGCACTCTCCTTTGCGGCTGAGCACGGCAGCGAACATAAAGTACGTGCATTGCTGAAAAGGAACGCATCTGATCGTGCTCGTTTCTGGTACTTGACGCCTTTGACATATGCTGCCGAAAATCATCATCTTCAAGTGGTATTGCTCCTTCTTAGACAGAAAAAGGGCGTGGATCTTGCTGATGATAGTCTTCGGTCCGCGGTGACGTCTGCGGTTGCCTTTGGTGATGTACAATTCCTAGAGTTAATACAAGAGAAGGGTAAGCTTGACCAACCAGATTGGCGATACGGTGATACGGTACTTCATCACGCAGCAAGTCGTGGAGACCTAGCCGTCGTAAAGTGGCTGCTCAACCAATCTGTCGGTGTTGACACAGCGGGGTGTGATGAGCGAGCGCCCCTTATGCTGGCGGCATGTAGTCGTAATGACGCCGTTGTTGAACAACTTCTGCAGCACGGAGCCCGGATTGACGCCCGAGATGTGGACCGTGCGACTGCCCTTCATTGGGCCTTGCCACGTTGGATCGACCCGTCACTTGAAATTTCCAATTGCGATTCTACTTTGGGCGTTGACCTCAAACGCGGGCTCCCTGGTAACTCGATCATTGTGAAAATGCTTGTCGAAGTAGATGCTGATTTGGAAGCGAAGAACGCAATGGACGAGACTCCCCTGACTTGCGCCGTCATCAATGGATCTGAATCAGCCGTTCGCCTGCTCCTCGAGAAAGGAGTAAATTCCGAATCCTGCGACAAGTCGGGGTCCGTTCCGTTGCTATTTGCGGCTTGGAAGGGTCATACGGCAGTTGTTAGTCTTCTGTTGGAGTATGGCGCAAGGATTGATTCCACCAATGCAGATGGCAACACAGCGTTGATGCTTGCAGCTGATAATGGCCACCACGAAACAATTCTAAGTCTTCTGGCAAGACCTGCCGAAATCAACCGCGTCAATCATGCTCACCGAGCCGCTTTGTCATGCGCCGCAGAGAAAGGCCACGACAAGGCTGTCGAGATCTTGCTGCGGTATGGCGCGGAAGTCGACTTGCCAGATCATACAGGTCGAACTCCGCTTCTTTGCGCTGCGCAAAATAAACATGAGCGGTGCGTCGAGCTCCTTGTCCAAGGAAGCGCTGATGTTACGAGAGGGGACATCGAGGGCCGAACACCGCTCTGGTGGGCATCGAGGAGGGATCAGAGAAGCTCACGGAAGAGTCATGATGCGGCTATTCGAATACTCTATGACCGCCATCCCGCTGCGCGCTCCTGAGGATAACATGACCGAGGCCTTGCATCGAATAAAGCTAACACCCGACCGAAGTCCGAATCATGCATTCTAAGACTGAAACTGTTGATCGAGGGCAGATGATCGCAGGCATAACATCAGACCTGCATATGCTGACTCTACCACGCGATCGGGGTAGGATGTCCTTTTATTGTCTGCAGTACCTGATCTCCTCCCGCGGAGTTGACACTCAAAGCGTGGGACGGAGACGCTTCGTGTAATTGGCTGGTTTTTGTTCGTAATTACCGTAATGCATGGTAATGCCCACCAGGCAGCGACAACAAGCCTTTCGAAGCTTTTTGATCATCCAATAGGTCTCGTTTTATTTTAGACATACCCCACTTGGACCACCACACTGAACTTGGCTATCAACCAATCACAGGATCATTCCACTTTGCTTTGTAAAATTGAATTTTCGAGAATTTGGTACCTGAATGGATTTCTCTTCAGTCTTTTCCATGGTTTTCTCAAACAGATAAACATATATCAGTAATGAACCATAAAATACTTAGCAGGGAAAGACTGGCAACCGTACCGACTACCGACATTTAGATCACAAAACTTTTTGATGGCTGGATAGCATACGTGAGCATACGTCGGCTCGACACGCGGCGGGTCCTATTATTGGAGATAGTCCCACTCCAAGGTCTCGGCTATCAAACTGTTTACCCACCTAGCTCCACAGTCGTCCAATAGTGGTGCGTGGCTTCATCGATTCATTTCAGTATCTTACGTAGCTGCAGGGAATGGCGTTTGACAGATTAGTCTCCTGGCACCAGGCTCATTTCATGGCTACTTTGTTCTTCTTATCAGGATTTCTCCGCCTTGGACTTCCGTCCTGCGGTGACTTCGCATCAGGAGAACATCGCCATGCGCTTACAATCATTACCACGGTTGGGGTGGAATGCCCTCTGGACAACACTGTTTTTTACATCGTTGGCACAGGCGATCGATGTCAATATCAACGATGAGCGTATGCGTCGTTATCCAAAACTCGCTTTCCCGGACTAACACCGCCATAGAATCCATCAAAAATGCTGCCAGCACTGCTGCTTACGGCGCGATGAGCTACTACCATGGCAACGAGTCCGGACAGATTCCTGGTGCATTTCCGACCAAATGGTGGGAGGGTAGTGCCCTATTCATGGCGATGCTGCAATACCAGTACTTTACTGGCGACCAGACCTACAACAGCGAAGTGAGCTTGGGTTTGCAATGGCAAGCTGGAGAGGGCGACTACATGCCCTCCAACTACAGTAGCTACTTGGTAAGCACCCAGTGAACAAATGCAAGGCACAATGCATCTGACCAGCCAAGGGAAACGACGATCAAATGTTCTGGGGTCTAGCGGCCATGCTCGCCGCCGAGATACAATTTCCCGATCGCTCTGAGGGTTACTCCTGGCTTTCCCTCGCACAAGGTGTTTACAACACGCAGGTCGATCGGTGGGATACGTCAACATGCGGAGGAGGCTTGAGGTGGCAGATCTATACGTACCAAGCAGGGTATACAATGAAGAACGCCATCTCCAACGGGGGTTTGTTCCAGCTAGCTGCCCGCCTTGCGCGTTACACCAACAACAACACATATTACGAATGGGCCGAGAAAGTATGGGACTGGAGTTGTTCGTCGCCTCTGCTCAACAACAAGACGTGGACCGTCGCCGATTCGACCGGCATCGAGGACGGTTGTAAGAGTCAGGGCAATAATCAATGGTCCTACAACTACGGGACCTACCTCATGGGCGCGGCATACATGTGGAATTACGTACGTTCCCCGGAGTCAACCAGAGAATATATCAGAAACTAACGAGTTAGACCAACGGAACCAACACGAAGTGGGCAACTGCCGTCGATGGCCTCCTCAATAACACCCTGGACCTATTCTTCCCCACCAGTTACGGCGGCAACATCATGTCCGAGGTCCTCTGCGAGCCGAACGAAGTCTGCAACGACAACGAGATCCTCTTCAAAGGCCTAGTCACCTCCTGGCTGGCGTTTACCGCTCTTCTGGTCCCCTCCACCTACGACAGAATTCTCCCCAAGCTTCAGGGTTCAGCCGCGGCGGCTGCCGCAACCTGCACGGGCAACGGCAACAATTCCTGCGGAGTGCGATGGTATACTTCCAAGTGGGATGGATGGACGGGTATGGAGGAGCAAATCAGCGTCACAGACGTCTTGTCAGTCAACCTTATCACCACGAAACACAGTGGACCAGTCACCTCGACAACTGGCGGGAACAGCACCAGCGACCCGACTGCAGGCTCGGGAGATAAATCGGCACAGACCACCCCCACCAGCAAGATCACCACGGGTGATAAGGCGGGTGCTAGCATCTTGACTATTGGCTTCGCGGTGGGATGGTTGGGCCTGATAGCTTTTATGGTCATTGGGGGGTAATGATGATCCTTTAGGTTTGGCGTCTTCATGTAATTTTTATCACCATCATGGTGTTCTCATATTTCTGTACATAGTAGATAGATCATTGATAATGCAGTCGAAGCTCTGAACTCCGTGATTGACCGGTGTCAGGCAACAGAGAGCCAGATCGCTTGAGTGTTGATAGGAGCTTCTGATTTGTGACAAGCAGATAAATATATGCAATGAAAAGTCATTTCTAGATATTAGTAGATGTCGTTCTACCTTGCTCATTATGCTCAAAATTCGAGTGTCGCTTATTGCCTATATCTCCTGGCGACAGTGAAATCAATACTCGATAGATAAGCCTAGACCGCCAACAACATCTGTCCCGCATCATGAGATCATCATTTCAGTTAAATCCCGATCGGGACACAATTATAGGTAGCTTCTATTTCTGCCGTGTCGACATGATGTCAGCGATGGCATTCGATTCGCCGAGAAGATATGATGAGGTCGCCTCCCCGCATTCTCCAGAATGGTTCCGCAAAGTGTATATTCCCACGAGGAATTAAATAGGCCGACCGCACCTCACATCAGACAAAATAATCATCCATGGCCAATACAAATTAAATCATGATGCTCCGAAATCTCATCCGAACAGCACAAACCCCCATCCGACCCCTCCTCTACAGACCCATTCTCACCCGCTCCCTCCGAATCCAGGGCCAACCCACCCCTCAGGCCGCAAGCGAACTCGACCGCCAAAGCCTCCACCCAGAAAGAGCCGAAAACACCCAGTCTGGAACCGACGACGAAGTCGCACGGCACACATCCTCCTATGACCCCTCGACCACCACCCCGGAGATGGAATCGCAGGCAATCGAGGCCGAATGCAAGCTCCTCGGCGAGATCGACCCGCTGTTCTTCAGCGCTGCGCACCGCGAGGTGAGCGCGCTGCTGGATCCGAAGCTGGAGGTGGCGGTGCATACGATTGAGCACTTGAGTCCGAGTGCGAAGGGGTGGACGAGGAAGCATAAGGAGGTGAGAATCAGTAAGGTTCCTGGGCATGGGAGTCCGGATCAGTTTGAGAGGTTGTTGAAGGGGTTGAGGGATATTCAGAAGAGAGGGGGTAGTGGCGGGTCGGCGGTAGCTACTTGAAACCAGGTATGTATGGCCGCGTTGAAGTTGCGTTATCTCCAGTGACATGGTCAGGTCCTCTGCTAGTGGGCTGTTTTGTGATAGTATGCAATAACGGAGTTTGGGTTTCAAAAGGTAGTTGAAATGAATTCAACTCTATCATTATGTATATAGTCTATGTGCTGATCATAATGAACTAGTGTGCAAGTTCCTGGTACAATTAGTAAAGAACAGCAGAATTTATAGTGGGCACTTACACTTGCAAATTTGCTCCTGGCCCGAATCTTTGGTCCAAACAGTAGAAGGACCCAGGGGACGATACACAGCAACGCTCCCTGTCAAGATCAGCATCGACCCCTTCTTCACAGATACGGAAACTTACAATTCCACCGAGTAGACTGGAAGCACCCGGATATCCCAGATTCGTAAACATGGCGTTGGTTACCAGCGGAAAGACACCGCCGAGGAGATTCCGACCTGTCATCACGTTAGTACTAAGAACAAAAGAGCAGGAAACTGAACCTACAGCAAGATTGGGCAGCAATCGCCGAACTGGCATATCGGTGATAGGTGTCTGCCAAATAATTAAAGGTTGCTAGGTAAACTGAGAAGATGCCCATGGTAGCGCATCCAACTGCTATCGTTGGGACAACCCACGGGATGGAGGAGTAAGACGTCCATCCGAACCAGAACAAACCGATGGGCATGAGCAGGGACTGGATGCAGACGAAGTAGAGTCGTCGCTCGGCTGATTTGGGGAGAGTGACGAAGCGTCGTGCGATGCTTTCTTGGTAGATGCTAATGATGGTTATGATGATGACACCAACACACATGGCTGGAAGTTGTCAGCGAGAGATATATCTGGTGATAGTGGGCGACATACAAGTAAAGACGGCGCCGCTTTGCTCAACGTTGAAGCCGTGGTTGGTCTTGAAGACAAGCGGTACGGAGCCAAATTGGAGATATAGAACTGCCCAGCTGAAGGATACCCACAGAGAGAAAAAGAACACGGTTGGCTCGGTCAGAAGTAAGTCTTGTTCCCGGGTTAGCATGGCGCTCGACGGATAGTAGATGGATGGCGACTCACGGAATGGTCGATAACACGAGATACTGATCATCTGAGCCAAAGATGCCCTCTCCTCATCACTCTTCACTTTCCACCGTATACGCTTGACCGTCTCCTTATCCGACATGATGACTCCGTAATGGCCAGCACTCTCGAGTTGGTCGTAGTACGTATTGACTGCTTTTGCCTTCCGACTCAAAAGCACACTGCCTCGGGTTTCTTTGAAGAAGAAAAAGATGATAACAACAAAGACGGCCGAGACAATGGCATGAGAGTACCAAACCCATCGCCATGTAGTGTGCTGCACAACGGCGCCAGCAAGCATCGGGGCCAGTCCAGTACCAAAAAGGGCAGCCCCGGAGAACAGTGCCATGGGGGTATTCCGGTCTTCTGCGTGGTAAATATCGCTGATCACGCCTCCC